TTTTAAAAAGTTGAATGGTAGCTTGTACTGAAAGTTCTATTAATGTAGTGTATGCTAATGATGTTAACACATATAAGTAGTATGTATCAGTAGTCGAAAATACAGTGTTTGACAGTTGAAAGTTAAGAGAATCGGAGAGAAGAGTACGAGAATAAAGAATGATTAGTGTGGAAACGAAAGAACAATGAAGTCTGAAACAATTAATTGATATTTTGCAAATGAAGTGTTTAATATACGATACTCAGATTTTACTAAGATATTCTATAATGTTGTGTTAAAATACATTTGATTGTCCACACTGATGTTCTCGCTCACTACATTAACATTTACTACAATATAAACAAGTGTCATGTATTATTTATTTTAACACATAAGTATAGGTACAGGGAGGCACCAAGTACATATGCGCCACACGAATCTCAATTGATTTGTGTGAGGGCCGTGATACTGCCCGGGTGCCCAAACCGAAGCAGGTGGTTTTCTTAGGGGGCCACACCCCGAGCATTCGACCTGAACGTCTGACCCACAAGGCAGTGGAGCATCGTGAGGAGATGCACTACATTAAAATTTACTACAATATAAACAAGTGTCATGGATAATAGTAATAACTATACTTTGACCTTGTGCTGTATTTATCTTTAACAAAACAAAAAAACAAATGTTTTGGCTTCCTAGAAGGAAATTTATAACGATGATGACCTTAAATACTTACAGCGTTTATCTGTTGCTAAACATCAGTTTTAAAAAGAAATTTTTCTCAAACAAATTTTCGTTTCTTCTTTTCTTGAAAAAAAAAGAAAAGTCTCTATTGTAATTTAACTATTCATGAATCACTGTTTCTTCTTGTATACAAAGATCTGGTTTTAAACGTCCGATTGCTATCGCTTCGACAAATTTTAAAGGGTTTGAATTTGATTGTTTGTTGATCACCTTGAAGGACTTCAATTTATCGACTTCGTGTCCTGTGTCGAGGACATGTCTTGCGATAGCGCTGCTGAATGCTTCTAGTCCGTTTGATCTCAAACCCTTCGGAATTCGTTCTTTGAATCGGACGTAGGTTCTCCTATCTGTTCTGCCAATGTAACTGCTTTGGCAGATACATGTAAATTTGTATACACAGTTGGTGGTAACATGAAAGGGATACCTGTCGACCTTTGATTGTGTCAAAAATATGTTCTTTTGGGCAGGACAATCAATTTAGCTGCAGGATATGTTTTTGTCATTGACATTATCACCTTTTATTTTTGTTGAATAATAAATCTTTCTTCGCCCTGGTAACATTACCCACCCCCCTTTTATTTAGTACGTCATTCCAACCCTTTCTGAATTTTATAATTACATCATTCATAACTGACCAATTTCAATTCATATCTCTCTTTATTACCATTATTCTATTTTCAGTTGCTTCATTACATAATTATCTAATGTGTTTTAATTCCATGAGTTCTAATCACTATTTCTATGTTATGGAACCTTCCCTCCCAAACTCTATATATTCGAAACAAAAACTTTATGACTTCATTAACTCTAACGGAATCCTTGCAACATCATGATACACATATATTCATCCTTCATCACCCTCTTATGTATAAGTATGTCAATATCTGTAACAACGTTGAATTTCAAATATTTTAGGTTGTAAGCAGCTGATGAGAACCTAACGAAATAAAATGAATTCATATTATTCTGCACCAACCTTTGTTCTTACTCTCTTTAAAATATATTCTTATTTGGGTATAGGATTTTTCCTAATGACTACAGAATGACTGTAAAATATCTAATTATATATATATATATATATATATATATATATATATATATATAAACTTCCAGCCAAACAAGTTGGTGAAGCCTGGTAGGCCCTTCTGTAGAGAAACAGGCCACATCGAAGCATGGCACAACTACCGGGGCTAGAATAGTTGTTTCTGCAATCCTTTGGAGTTTGCCCAATGACGAGCAACTCCATATGATACATGCACCACTTTCAAAATTTTTTGTCGTTTTCCATTCCAAATGTAATTGTGCTATGATTCTTTGTGGATTTCGTAATCAGTTGGTGGGTATAGGTTGAGTGGGTGATTACCCCGATCTCTACCACCCGGGTTACCGCTCACGTTAGTTCACGAGACATTCGTCTCATTATCCAGGAGGCACGACGCGGACGTGTGAGTCGGATTTTGCCTCCCATATATATATATATATATATATATATATATCTTTAAAGAAGTTTCAACTTTGAAGTTGTTCTAGAACGTTTGAACTTTTGAAGAAAAGTACTACAATGTTATACTTATCTTTTTTTCCAATACGTCATTTTTTTTAACAAGGTTACCGAAACTGGCTGAATACCAAGGAGTAAACAATGTCTTATTTACGTAATACTTTGTATTGAACATTATCTATCAACCTAGTAATATAGAGACTATTTAACGTGGTTAGGCATCATACTCATTACATTTTAATATAAGGCATTTGGAGGCGATTAGAAGAAAGCAAGTAATTTGAGTATTTCATCATTACACACTTATCATTAAGGTGTATTAAAATAGTTTATGGAACTAATGTGTCCTATGATATTCATAGGTAAATCAATCCGTATGACAAAGACATTATCAGTTAGTTACTAAGGTAACAATATTTTCCTCCTCCTATTTTGATAATCACTTTTAAGTCTATAGGATCTTAGCTGTTACTAATGTTCATTTAACATGCAATGATGTAACAAATTTAAATTTTTAAGATACAGAATGATTAATCTTTATTACGAAGCGAAAAATGCTACTTAGACCGAATTTATTCTGAGTTCACATATAAATTAAACTAACAATATCAATGGATCCTTGTTCATTTTTGATCTAGAAAGTATTAATAATTGGGTAACAAATGGCTTTTCTATAGAGAATATGTTTAAACTAATAAATTATGTTACGGAATAAAACAAACAAATCAATATGTACATCTAGATAAAATGAGATATATCCTATCATTATCATGTTTATTATCAACCTAAGAATGATACTTTCATGCAATGAAATTATTCAATGTGAATTTTTACTGATAATGTAGTTTAATACTACTAATGACATTAATAGTAATATAAGTAGTATGTAGATATTTCTTTTTAAACAAATTTTCTAGTGCAAAAATGTATGTCTGTTCATATTAGTCAATAATTATCATTAAATATCTCAATAAAGCCAAAAAATGTGTATGTAAAATATGTTTTAGATAATCAGTTCATTAGGTCGATTTCAGTAATATTAGAAAAGTCAATCAATTGATGTTTCACTCTAATTTAATTACTTAATTATACCTGTTACCCCTTGTGGAGAAGCATAGACCGCTCATCAGGATTCTTCATATGATTTAATTAGTTCAATTTGAAAATTATAACTAATTTTCACATTCTTCTTAAATGAATAATCACTTTCAAGTTAGCACCCAAAAACCTAACTGATCAATCTTTTAACTGAACGCTTGAATCGGTTTCCTAAACTCAGACTAACAACTTGAATACGAGAGAAAAAGTTCGAAGTGTGAAAAGAACTTTTTACTTTAAGGTTAGCTCATGTACAGAAAATCGAGAGCATTTATATAGAACTTCAGATGTCCTTGGGATTCTGGAAGGTTCTTGAACTGTACTAAACATAGCAACAGGATTAGTAATCATTCAACCAGAAGTATAACACGTGGTTCTTTATTTTCTAGATGTTCCTGAGAAACGTCTATTCACCGCTGACTGGACAAAATGTTTTTCAGAGTTTTTAGGACCCATCTGGACGTTTTTGATGGATATTTTGGGTCTTTATAGCACTAACTTTTATTTTCTACAATGAAATTAATTCTGATATTCATCTACCTTCGAATCAAAGCTATTTTGTTTCGTTAATTTATTAGAACCACAACAATCTTTAAACATTATAAGCAAAGATGGATAGTGGCTAGCAGTGGAATCCACAACGCGCGTTTCATCCTATTCGGGACTCGTCAGCTGGATGTACCTGCATCTCAGAGTTGATGTTCACTCCGTGACTCGAACACAGTACCGTCCTCTTCAAACGCCATCGCGTTATCCACTTAGCTACTGAGTCCCGATAGCCACTTGCTTGTGCAATGGGGTGAAGTTTAATTCACTTGATATTGTTTTTATTTGAATCTTCCTAAACATCAATGGGAAGATTCAAATAAAAACAATATCAAGTGAATTAATCTTTAAACAGTTATTTAAAGCGTCATTGTAGAAGATGGTAATTAGAGTTAGTCAACCTAGGTTTCATGTTATTTATCACTCCTCAGCAAGATTTACCTGTAATCTTGAGAACACTAATGTCCCCTGGTAGATTCGATCGCGTGTCACTCAGCTTCCTGTGTGATAGAAGTGTTTTTACCATCGATTGATCACTAAATGATCATCATTACTGTTTGTCTCCAGTCTTTTCTAAGAGATGATCGAATTATATCGATCAAGTCACTATGTGGCCAATATTGTTTTGAACGAGAACACATCTGGAGACAACCAATACATCTTAATACGAAATTACAGAGTATCTTGGTAAAATATAAGAATCATTCACTAAATACTTCATTTGCGAATTTCCATAATTTGTCCTTCAAATTCTGTATGATTCCACAAGTTCACAATTAATTTCTATTTTTATTTCTATTCTCATCAAATTGATCTTCTTAGCCTCCTGCTGCCAGGTTTTCCACCTCCGATCGGTGTTACATGCTATTTATATCTGTTGACATAAGTAGCATACACCAAACTACTAGTCTAAGTGACTCAACATGGTGTACACTATGTTGAGATGTAAGGTGTTGGTTAGAGGTGTTTTTTTCAAAAAAAACTAAATATTGGAATGCTGGATGAAAATAATTAAACTTGTGATGCGATTTCATTTGATAATATTTTACTGTTGAATAAACTGTAATATTCTCAATACTTTAATCATATTAAATATAAGCCTTTTTTAAATCTTTTAATTTTATAATTATCATAGGCCATAAATTTGTTGGTCCAGTTGAATTAGTTCAACATCATTCAACACAATTGGATGGTTTTCTTACATTAGCTCAATTACCACTAAATCGTCCAGTTGGTATGTCACCAATTGTTTTACAAGGTTTAAATGCTAACGATTTGGAACATAATTTACGTTTAAAAGCTATAGAAATGGGATTAAAAGTAAGTCTGATCTGATAATGTTAGTTATTGTGAATTTTCAGTAGTTTTTAAATGTTTGGTTATTGTCTAATAAATAAATGAGTTATATGATGTTAGGTGGTTGGAATTAATCACAAGTAAACCTTGAATATAAGTTTGATATTAGTTTAGACTTATCAGCAAGTTCTATCTGCAGTCTGAAGGGAATTAGTGCTCTCAATGAGATTTGAATCCGAGTCCCTCCGTTTCATAATCTAAGACACTACCAATAATTTGGTCAGGTCTGGAGTGATTTCTTATAGGGTTGGTAATATTTACATCAATTAATCACTGAGTAAAGTAGAAAAATATGATATTGGTCACCATTCAGAGAACAGCTACTATAAATGGGTTACATGATACTTCATAAGTGTTCCTCCGATAATTAATTTCATCAACACTATCTATTTTTCAAACGATAGAACCCTGCATATATGTTCTTTTTGTCCAGAAATGTATTGTGTCGCTTATACAATTTCTAACTCAACTACATTCTATTGTGAAATTTCTTTAGTAACAGACTCTTATAAACTAGAAACTTCTGAAAACCTAAGATTTAAGTATTTGTAGGAGGAATAATTTGAATTAAATTGAAGATGTTCATGTCTTGTTACAAATGGGGAAGTATCTAGATAATGAATAAGTTACGAGCGATAGTCAATAATGTTTCTTAGCTGAACTTTGAGAGTATAGGGTTGTGGGGGTGGTTGAATTTTATTGAAATCAAGAATCGATCAAAATTAGATAACCATCAAATACCTAGAAGCACTGGAAAGTTGTTTTGTCCTATTATGGACCTTCTTGTCAGTGCTTTTCCATGAATCGGCAACAGGAAATCGAACTCAGAACCTTCTGTCTCTCTGAGAAGTTCAATGTTAAGAAGAAATGGTAGTTCAGTGTTTCCTGGTTTTCAATAGTTGCCTACTTTGGATGTGTTTGTGTTTTTAATTAACTTTGAAATGTTCACTTTATACAAAATTACTAGTGAACACTGAATTCCAAGTTTTCAGATGCAGGTACATCAAGCTGACGAGTCCCAAATAGAACGAAACGAACGTCCTAAATTTCACTGCTAACCACTATCCATCTTTGTTTATAATACTTGTAACTTAAAGCAAGATCGAAGCAATTCGCACAGTATACACATATGCCCATAAGAGGTTGATCGATTGGATGATTCAAGTAAACTGAGAGTTAAGTAAACTGTTTACAATGAAAGATGATATTATATTTGTTATATCTTAAATAATTTGCTGTAGAATATATGATAAAATTGCAGTAAATAGGAAGTTTTTTCATGATCAGTGAAATTCACACGTCTAATTGTTAATTAATAATATAACGGATGGATTTTAATATTTTTCTCTCTGCAGTGCACTGCCCTACTACAATGATACAGTGATAAAACTAAACTACTTGATCGCTTTTCTACATCCTCTAGATTGGATATTCAGATGATCCGCTATATAAAGACTGGGTCATGTTATATCAGTTATACTATTCACAAACAAGAATAGAGAACTAGAGTAACGCTATACTACACTTCACACACAAGTGGTCACTCTCAGTAATTTTTAAAGTAGAAACCAATGAAAAGAAAGAAAATAACATAATTATCATTCAGTACATTGAGTGCCTGTTTGTCCATACTCAATGAACAATCATGTTTTACCATCACTACGACACATCAGTTAGAGAGATGAGGATTGAGGTTCTTAGTTGGTGTTACAGTAGACGAATACGTTTTAGCCCTACAACAACCCTAGACTATTCCCAGAATAATAACAAGTATGGTAAACGAGTAATCAGCGTTTCAAATACATTCAACACCAGAAGTTGATGCTTTCTGTAATTTAGCTTAGACATCATATCAAATGCATTGTGTAGTCGCATAACAAATACGTTTTGAACACCTTAAAGACTAATTGTCGACAATTTTCATATATTTGTAATAAGATATCAGCAGGAAATCACTTCACTATGAATTGTGATGAAATATTGAAGGGTCTGAATGTACCTGTTGGCGAATCCCAAATACGACGAAACGTGCGTTCTAAATTCCATTGTTAGCCATCACCTATTTGTTCTTATAATGCTTAACACTAACTAGCAAGTTTGAAGCAATCCTTACAGGATGAACATATGCCAATATAAGACTGACTAATTTCAGTCTTAAATATAAGCGGTAAGATCCAAACAACCAATATAAGTAAAATAACACTAAACTAAATGAAGTTTGGTAATCTACAGTTGAAATACTTATACTTCAGTTATAAGATTATAGTTTCTCTGATAAATCTGCTCAAAGTAATTAACATATTTTTGTACTGAGAGATGATGGTTAGTGATTGTATAGCTTGTATAAAGTAATACCATATATCGCTTTACATAACTAAACTGAAAATATTTTCAAAATAAAAGTCATATTAAATTAAATTTTAAAGATTATCTATATCACAGAATAACTGTTCAAGAGTTAAGTGACTAGCATCGAGAGATTCCTCAAAATTCTACTCAAAACACTATAACTTGTGAAGTTCGTTCATTGATGGTAGCAATGATTTGTAGCTCAGGTAAATGATTTTGGTAGAGTTTCATTCACTGAAACGGATGGTTTGGTCATGAAGCTTTCATTATTCTTCAGAAAGACATCATCATCAGCATAAACTTCAAGTACAAATAAAATGTTTGAATTTCTCCACATATGATGTCATCCAGAAGAACGACTAAAGCTCCACGACCAAACCATCCACTTCATAGAACAAAACTCCACTAGAAGTTTATTCAGGTCAAAAATGAATAATAGTCATTTAATATTGTAGATTTATTTAAGCTATACAATTCGAATTATCAAACATCAGTTGATATATTCTAAGTTCAGGATTCTTCAATTGATTTACAGATTAGTGTCATCAATACATGAATAAATTATAAATAGAATGAAATAGTTGTTTCTAGGTTTACATTGATTTTCTAGTAACTCAATTAATTAAACCATTTTAACATTGAACAAATCAAAATAAAACAAATGGAAAACGTTCCCATTTGTTTTTTATTCTTATTTCCATCAGAATAAAATTCTAAATTTATTATATTTTTATAATAATTACATTATTATAATGTCACATCAATGAAGATGGAATGTCTGTTTTGTAGAGGTGAGAAACTAGATAAAATAAAATCACATCAGAATATGATACTTCTAGGAAACTGGAGAAAGAGGTGGAGGTTTTAGTAATGTTAATAGTTGAATTCATGAGTCAATTGAAGCTAGATCATCATGGAAAACCTGGAAGTACTGGAAGGACGTTTCGTCGTAGTATGGGACTTCTCTATATCCAAAAGCCCTCTCTGATTATAATTAGCATATGCTAACTAATAACGGTCTCTAAGAGGTATTTCCTGGAGTTCTGGTGAGAAGCCGTGACCAGTGGAGTTCAATCGGGTCTGTTGTGAGATAGTATCTCACTGATAACAATGATGGATGTTGGCGCAGCTTCGTGGATTTGTTGAGATTAAACATTAACACCGTCTAATGGTTAAGCGCTCGCATGCGAGACTGATAGGTCCTGGATTTGAATCCCGTGGGGCGGGATCTTAGGTACGCACTGCTGAGGAGTCCCATACTGGAACGAAACGTCCTTCCAGTACTTCTAGGTATCTCATGGTGGTCTAGCTTCAATTGACTCATGAATTCAATTATTAAAATTTCAAATTATTTAAAAAAAGATGTCAAATGTATTGCATTGTATCAACTTTCAACAATTTTAATTGGTTATTATTTTTATTGTCGTGTAATCAGGTTGTAGTCAGTCACATATACACACATAGATATAAACATTGATTTCATAATTATGGTAAACAAATAAATTAATAATTGATTGAGCTCTTCTGTATAACCGATTTTTATGTCATATTTTTTGGTTTGTTAATCATTCGATAGATTATTTCTCTATTTTGTCTCACTTCACTGATTTAATGAGGTTCTATTCAAATCAATTGGAATTATTTATTTACTTGATTGATTGTAATATTCAATTGACATTTAGCGTAGAGAATTCAATATCTCGAAATAAACATATTAGTTTTCAACTTATGATTAGATGATTGCTTTTCCTGTTTCTATGTGTTTGTGTAGTTCCGGAGACTTCCAGAGCCTAAGGCCATCTGAAGTACTATAAGTACCCCAGAGTTTTTGCTGTATATGAGCTTACCTTGGAGTAAAGCGTTCCTTTCAAAATTCCAAAATTTTCTCTCGTATTCAAATTGTCGTTAGCCGGTGAAACTATAATTTATAGATGCTCTTTGAGCAAGCCTAAAATGACCTTGGAGTGTCATAATAATGACTAGGGACAAATGAAGGTTATATATTATTGTAAGAAATTAGGATTAGAATTTACAGTCGAACGTTAGGGTTAGAAATTAGATTCAATGTTTTCATTACAAACTGACATCAGTTATAATGCTTAATTAGTATTTAACCAAATGAGTGAATGAATTTCAAGCCAAAATAAAACATTTGATATTTTAAATGATCTGTTCTCTTTGACTAAGTCTTCTTGAGTAAATATGACTGTTTGTGCAGTTCATTGTCTTTTTATTTTTCAAATAAGAAATTCTGTATTTAATTAAAAGAAAAAGAAGAGGAGTAATTGATAAATTTCATAGCATATGTATTTATGACTCACTACTGTGCATTCGTTTTCCTGTTTGTCTGTTGTTACTTCGTATTTTTACTTGCTCTCTTTTTTTTTCAAAACCATTCTGACTCCTAGAAATTCTATACACGGAATACTAAAGTAGCCTTTTTATTTCCTATTGTAGACTCATCATTTAGCTTTGTATACACATGCAAGCATATCTATCTCAACATCACATACACATAAAAACAAACGTATGAATATAGTGAAATGTACTTTGATGATAATAGAATGATATACATTAGAATATCATTGAAAACCTAAAGGAAATCGTTAATGAAT